TAATCAACACTAGGGGAGGGCGCCGGGTCCACACCCCCCTGTCCCATCCCTCCCCTCATAGGTCAGTGTTAAGGCGGCCATTTGCCGTTTACAGGCCCCGTTAACAAAGATGGTCCTAGAACGGCCAATCCCCCATTCCGGGTAACAGCCCACCCCGCCTCTCTCTCTCTCTCTCTCTCTCTCTCTCTCTCTCCCCCCAACACAGACACAAAATCAAAGAAACAAGAAACGAGACGAGCACACGTGGCTCCAGGTCACGCGCGTAGGCCCGTTGGTTCTGTACTCAGACGGAACGACGGAATGATCCAATCACAGAGTTTTTTTTTTTTTTTTTTTTTTTTTTTTTTTTTTTATGTGCGCTCGATACCATTATCCAATCAGGGCTTCATGCAAACCTGTCGTTTCTAAACCGAAACAAACGTCAACAGCAGTTACAGCTCCAAACTAGAACATCATGTAGTGTTAAGGATTACGACTTCCAGAACAGCCCATAGTTCCCTGAGATGCCAAGCATGGCTTCCACTCTTTTTTTACCATTCCTCTATTTCGAGAAAGCTCAGGACTAATGTGTTGGACTGTTGAGCGGAGATATTGTACTGGCTATTCGTCTTAATTACTGCTGCCACAATCAAGTGGCAATATCTTAAAAAAAGCTAGTGACAATAGCCATTATTGATCTGCACTACTGATGCCACAATCAAGCGCGCGCGAGCGTGTGCTTGTGTATGTGCCTGTTCGAGTTTGTGTGTGTGTGTGTGTGTCTGGTGTAGAGAGAGAGACACAGAGAGAGAGAGAGAGAGAGAGAGAGAGAGAGAGAGAGAGAGAGAGAGAGAGAGAGAGAGAGAGAGAGCGAGAGAGAGAGAGAGAGAGGTCTCTGTCTCTGTCTGTGTGTTCTCAGAGACATAACTCCAAATATCGTTTTAAGTCTCTCTCTCTCTCTCTCTTACTTACCCACTGACTCGGTCGCATTAGGCTGTTCAGCTCAAATCCAGCTTTATTAAAAACAATCGGTAATTTTAGTTTTTCTGATGTCTTCTCCCTCTGTCCCCTTGAGTGGGGCACTTCTTGATGACATGACCTCAACAGTCATCAAGGTGTGTGTTGTGAGCTGCGCTAGGAAAAGCAGGGGTTTGTGCTGCGAACGAATGATCTGTGTGTGTGTGTGTGTGTGTGTGTGTGTGTGTGTGTGTGTGTGTGTGTGTGTGTGTGTGTGTATGTGTGTGTGTGACGGAGCTCTGTGTGTGTGTGTGTGTGATGGGAGCAAAATTGTATGACGAGCATACGATTATAAGAAATTCCGGCGAAGAACATTTTCCCGGGATCCCCAACAGCTATGAAACAAGTCAGTTAGACAGAAAAAGCCTTCATGGCAAATGAAGACGTACCGGGGAGATGAGAATGCATGAAGTCAGGAAATGCGAGTCCTGCATCCGTTTTTGTTTTTGCAAAGCGCCGTGGCTCGTAGCCGTTTAACTTGGGTTGATGTGCATCAAACAAATAATTGAATCCGAAATTTTGATTGCAAATCAGATAGTGTAAACGAACTGTAAGTACCGAAGTATAAACGAACTGAAGGCGATGAACTTTCTACAGTTGAACAGGACAAGGAATAGACTTATGTATCTGGTCCAGCATATGCGTTGCATGAAGAAATAAAAACTGGAAGTGATAATCACGTGCGGTCGTCTTGACTAAATGGAGGTGACAGGACCTCTGTAAGATGTCGGGACGGTGACCGTGTGCACCTATTTTGATTCTTGTTTGTCAAATTCGAAATTGTACCCCCTAAAACCGCGCTCCCCCGTAAACTAGTAATGTTTGCTCTACACAATTTTTTGTAATATTTGTGTTGATTAAATGAATAATTGTGTAGAGCAAACATTACTCCCTTCACACCTCCCCCGGTCCCCCGCGCCCCCCCCTCTCCGCCCCAACCCGGGGTGTGGGGGAATTAACAATTCGGCTGACCATACGTGCTGGGCGGCTTCATGTGGCTGCCGTTGTATTGTGGTGAGCAATGCGGATGCGCAGCTGCGGGAAGGGAGATTCAAAGAATTTAAGAAAATGGGGTGGAAGGCGGCGCGGAGGAGGAAGAGGAATCAAGACAGACAGAGATATACGCGGATTGGGGGCGAGAACGGTTGAGCTGGGGGGTAGGTGATCGTTGAGCGGGAGGGAAGAGAGCGAGAGAAAAAGAGATATGAGAGAGAGAGAGAGAGAGAGAGAGAGAGAGAGAGAGAGAGAGAGAGAGAGAGAACAGGAAAAGGAGGCTGGGTAAGGGCGACCAGCGAGGCGAAGGTAATGCACGACCGGAACACACACAGAGAAAGAGTGTGTGTGTGTGNGAGAGAGAGAGACAGAGAGAGAGAGAGAGAGAGAGAGAGAGAGAGAGAGAGAGAGAGAGAGAGAGAGAGAGAGAGAGAGAGCGAGAAAACGGCAGCCCTCAGCAGCAGGCCTGCTAAGGAAACCTGCGTAAATCCGCTTTCAACATACCTTCATCATTCCTTGAGACCTCATGTAGCGGTTACGGCATCATCATCCGCATCGTTTTCTAGGTCCACCATCATCATCGTCAGGCCATCCCAACCCACTTCCAGGAACATACTGTGAATGCGCTCAATGATTTCTCTCATCGCTCGTCTGGACCCAAACTCCTCTTCCACGCATTCCCAAGCCAGTCCGAATGTGCTCATCACCATCTTCTTCATGGACTCCTCAGCCACCTGATCCCGCACGCACCGATCGAGTATCGGGTAGGGCATCTCCATGCTTCCGCTCTGGACGACTGCCCCTCGAAGGAAAGGCTTCACCCACTCGACGAGCGTCTGCCATTCGAACCCGGAAGGAGCCGGCCCGACCACCTTCCTGCCCGTCAACAGCTCCAGAACGAGTACCCCGTAAGAGTACACATCGTTCTTTTCGGACAGCTCTACTCTCAGCATGTACTCGGGCGACATATACCCGAAAGCGCCGCCGATGTGAGAGGTCATCACGACGTGGTCATGTCCTGTGTCTAACACCCTCTCGCCGATGGCTGCTAATCCGAAATCCGCTAAGACGACGTGAAGCTTCTCGCCAGATCCCTCGCCGAGCAGAATGTTGCTGCTTTTGACGTCCCGATGGATGATCGGGGGGCTGGCGGCGTCGTGAAGGTAGCCGAGCCCCTTGGCAACCTGGAAGGCGATGCTCATGCGCTCCATAAGCGTCAGCGGAGGGGATGGATCCTCGACAATTTGGCCTGTCTCCGGCGCTTTTGCATCCTTCCCAGTGACGGCCTTCGGGAACAGCCGCCCGTCCAGGCTGCCTCCTCTGAAGAACGGGTACACCAAGATGCAGTGATCGCCCGCGAGGCAGTACCCGACTAGTTGTACGAGATTAGCATGATTGAGGCCGCTGAGGGTGTTCACTTCAACCACAAACTGGCTCCGTTTGATGTCCGTTAGCTCGCCCGTCATCACCTTTACCGCGACCTCCTTGCCGTCGAGCGAGCCCCTGTAAACCTTCCCAAACGCTCCCTTCTCCCCAATTCTTCGACCCTCGCTGAATTTGTCCGTACTTTCCCACAGGACTCTGAAAGCGAACTGCTTGACCCGCGACGGCTTAATTCCCCACGCGCCCAACGCTTCATCCTCCGGTAAAGATGACGTCGCTTGCTCACCGACTTCCAGGGCACGTTCCGGACCAGCTGGTCGGCGGCGCGCTCTCCGCCATAGGCAAATCAAGATGGCAACGATTATGATGGCGACGACTGTGCCAGCCACCACAGCTGTTACCAGAACAGTGATTACATCTCCAGATGCAGGGGAAATGCTTGGTGCTGATTCTACGGCATCTTCAGGTGCGGGGGGAATGCTTGGTTCCGGTTCTAATACGCAGCCTCTGGCAGACCTGTTCAACTGCACTTCAAAAAGTTTCCCGTCCTCAGATCCCAAGTACAAGTATGCGTCCTCCCCCACTTCATTCTCCATCAATGCCAGTCCCGCAAACGTACCCGATGGGTACTCCATCTCTCTAAAGAATTTATCTACTAGCTGATAGCATTGTGTGCGGATGTCCAAGCTATACAGAGTATCCCATACGGTGAAAAAGAGGTGACACCCGTCTCGAGTGACGACAACACCATCCCAACGTTTTGGTGGGCCTGGATAGACGGATACCGCTATGGGTCGGCTCCCCTCGATGAACGGGTGAAACCCGGACAGCTGCATCCCATTTGTCTGCAAAAAATAAAGGCAATTGTTCACAAAGCTTTGAGATTGGAATATGGCCTCACCAATGTAACTTCCATTTATGAATCTAAACTGGGACTCCGAATCGCTGTCTATAGATTTCGAATCGCTGTCTAATTCTAATGGTACATCCAACGGAAGTCCCGAGCTATCGACCCGAACATATTCGAGTCCACCGTAAGAGAGCCTATTATAAACCAGACACTCTCCGGAAGGGTCCAAACAGATTTTGTTAATAAACTCAAAGGAAAACGTGGAGGAAGAAAGACGGGAGGAGTCAGAAACAGACAAGGACGTAATGGTGCCATTGAAGGGGTCGAATCCGGTCGTTCTGCAATTCTCGACCCGTTCCGCTCTTCGTAAGACCACAAGTAGGTTAATAATGTTGATTCGTCATCCGCCGAGTCCGATCCCTGTGTTGCCCTCGATAAGTTGGCTTTTCTGATCGACGTGACGTTGCTCTTTGAGCTGCCGTTTGAGCAGGTCTGCTCGAGGACATAGTACAGTTCTTTCTGAGGCGAAACCACCAGGTTCGCGATTACAGACTGACAATCCTTTGTTGGGGGTGGATGTGAAGCAACGACCCGTACCGAGTTGTTGATCAAGAGTCCCGGTTCGAGTCCCCATTCGCTTTCGTACGGTGATACCACCGGAAGAGATGGCGAGGCTGCCGATGTGGGCGCCTGCAGAAGGCGCCCAACCACGTGCGCATCGGAATTCGAGATCACAGCCAACGACGAGAATCTGCGGGACAGTCCCTCGAACGGACTGTAGCTGCGGAGCATGGCAGCTAAGATCAGGAAAAACGAGAAGAGGAATACGCGCACCAAGAGGACGCGCACGTGTCGACTTCTAATGTCACAGAATGCCGCACGGACGTTCCTTCTCTCGCAAAAACGTATCGTCTTAATCAAACAGCTAGGCGTCATCACACTAGTACAGGGACGGGGAAAAAAAGAAACTACTAAAATGAGAAGGAACGGGAAAAAAACACCGTACCCAGGGGGGCTTTATTACGTATGAACTGGCGGGAATGGGGGACAAGTCACCACATCAAATCACATCAGCATGCACAATCCCGAGACGTTCCGCTGTCAATGGTGCACACATAGTAGCGATAAACGAGCTGAGGGGCTGTTTTTCCCTGAGCCGTTAATTGCAAAACTGGCCAATGAGCCTTGATTGCCACGCACCAGGGAGTGGAAGTAACCTGTTTCTCAAAAAAAAAAAAAAAAAAAAAATTGACACGAGCCGATTAATGAGGAATCCTCGTTCTTGCCGGCCGCAGTTTATTGAGAAATGAACGTCCTTCCCCGCCTAACCGTTGATCATGGTCCGACTGTAATGCGGCTGGTCACGGTGACGTAGAAAGCTTACGCCTCAGCTCCCTGCTGCGGGAAACTGGGCATGACAAGTGGCAGAGATCAGTTCTTCGTCGATACAAAAGCATTCCAGTATAAATTAGCCAAGGCTTCTCTGCGTCAGGCCGTGCATTATTTCTACTGGCAGGGATAGACTGCGGCTTCGCATGCAACCTATCAACGAGGCACGGACGTCAGGTCACAGCCTCACGGGGAGGGGCGAGGGAACGGAGTAACGGTAACAGACTACGGCCCGGGGGGGAAGGCACTGTCGAAAACTGGAAATGCTTCAACCAGCTTCGCGGGAAGGGAAGCAACCTGGTCACGAGGTGGCTCATACGGCCTGGGGGGAGCGTTTTAGACCTGGGGACCCGCGGTAGGGTCAGGGGGGTCGGATGTGAATGAGTGGTCGTCTGTTGCTTTCTCTCCAGAAGTAGAGTGTGCGTTTGATGCCAGGTTACGTCTCAGGGCATGCTCACACCAGCACATACTTCTGCAAATTTTACGTATGTGAATTTGCCTTTATATGCCACCGGGGGGACACACTGCTCACCCGTTTGTTGCCCGAAGCAGTATGTGAATTTGCGTTTATATGCCACCGGGGGGACACACTGCTCACCCGTTTGTTGCCCGAAGCAGAAAGGACAGGGTCATGACCTGGCCTTGAGATGCAGAAAGGACAGGGTCGTGACCTGGCCTTGAGATGCGAAAATATGTTGTGTAGTCAGACAGCACAATGCACTTCAATTTTTTTTTTTGGCTTCCAAAAGAGGTCCCCGCAAAATCGCATTTCTTTTTCCTCTGGAGGTCCCCGCAAAATATGTAAGCATTTCTTTTTCCTCTGGAGGTCCGCGCAAAATATGTAAGCCCGCATGAAGTTTATGTGCCTTTTTGTGTTGACAAGCAAAATAAGTGCGTGGTGTGACCTGGAAAACCACATAAAATTTGCTATTTTGCGAAAAGACGTGGTAGTGTGAGTATGCCCTCAGCTTGGTTGGTCTGGCTATGGACTCGAGACTGAAAACCGGGTTGAATTGTGCGGTCCCGGGCCTCTTATATGTGTTTCTGGCGGATTTTCTGTCTCTTATATGTGTTTCTGGCGGATTTTCTGTGACCTAGTTGAAGGCCTCGCCACCAGTGCCGCCACCGTGAACGTGTTCTGTCATTTGACCTGGGCCGGTCATGTGGCCCTGCACCTGCTGGTCATTTGGCCCTGCGCCTGTGAATGGCCAGACCGCGAAACAGTGGTGTTTTTTTTTTTTTTTTTTTTTTTGGGGGGGCTCAATGCCCACACCGTGATGGCATTGAAAAGGAAATAAAAAAAAACAAAACAACAAACAAGAATGTTCATTTTTTTCCCTTTAAATTAAAACAAAATATTATGCGTGAATTTTTTTTTTTTTTTAATTATGGAGGGTTACCCTCCGATGCCGCCCACCCTCCTAAAAAAAGAAAACACCCCATCCCCAAGCCAAAAAAAAAAAAAAAAAAACGATCCCCCTCTCCGTGAACTCCTTGAACTAGGGGCCTCTGGGGCGAGGTCCCACTTGCAACGGGATAGGATAGAAACGAGTTCGTGGGGCAGTTGAGTGACCCAAATCCTGCCATGCAGTACTCGTGATCCCACGGTCAGTACTTTACATGTATAACCCGAAAAAGTAAGGAGATCTTTGTTCCCCTCCTCCTCTTCTTAACACTGGGCATGGCCGTGCAAAGAAAGCTTCCCGCCAGAATCTTTTCAATCGGTTGGGGGTGTGGGCAACTCCAAACAAGGTTGGGGTCGGCCTCAGCCCACTGGATAGAAGATTTTCAGCATTTTACTTGCTGTTGTGCAATTATCTCATTGAATGGAGCCCTCCTTCAATCACGGAGTATATGGAGGGTGTCAGGATCACTCCTGACAGAAGTAGAGTTTATTCCAGAAAATGTGGCAGTTACTTTGTTGACTGTTTTTGCAACCACCACCATCAGATCATTTGTGATCTGATGGCTGGGAAGCACTCTGCCGTGATTTCGGGTGGGAGGTCTCTGTTTCTTTCTTTTTCTTTGGCCTTTTTACTGTTTTCTCAGCCCAGAAATTCGTAATGAACTTGTCTGGCCGCTGCCACTCAGTGTCACACTGGATCGGCCACACTGCTATCCGACTGCTAATGGGACCTCGCCCCTGTTCACAAACCCCGTGAACGGTGAACGGGGTACGGCACTGCTTGCCACACCACTCTTGAAAACTTTTTTTCAAAAGTTGCGACGCCGCCACACATCCTCTTGGACGCTTGCAACCAAAAGCAAATTCAAGAGCTGTCAGAACGTGGGTTCAAAAGTCACGCTTGACAAGCCCGAAATGCCCGAACGTGGGTTCAAGAGTCACGCTTGACAAGCCCGAAATGCCCGCCTCCAACTGTCCTCCAACTGTCGAGATTTCAAACGTCCTACGCCCGGTGGTCGATGGATGCTTGGTTTTCAAGAGGTGTCAGGTCGTAACGTCTGACACCTGTCAGCGATTTTGGAGTTGGTTTTCAAGAGTCTACTCTTGTGGTTTCAGACATGGTCCCGACGATGGGCCAACATTGGACACTGTTTCGGACCCATTGTGGTCCTGGTCTGGTGACCGTTGGCGGGCACACTGGCAGAAGCAAACAGTGCTTCATGGCGAGATTCTGTGCATCTCCACCCCTATGCTCCGTGCCGCTACGTCCAGTACCGGCAGGACGCCGCCCACACTCTACCCAGCAACGCCGTCTCGTCGACAACGGAAGCCAAGTGTCTCCATGCCGCATCCGCCATTGCTTGGCTGGTTCCTCCATTGTTGCTGCGATTATGGACTGTGGTCTCACGTCACCGTTTTTGCTGACGTGACGTCAATCCCGCGGCAGAGTGACGCATGTCTGCGGTCGGGACATGTTGACCACTGCACCTATTGGGATCAATGTTGTGCCCCGCATCCGAAGGACATCCTCGATGGGGTTGGGTGTTATCTCTGACTTCGCCATGTCGAAATAGAACATCGCAGAGGGGTCCCGTGTTGTGCCCGAGAAGGATTGGAGAATGTGGTTCCATTGTTGTTGCGTGCTTCCCAGGATGGATTCTTCTGCTGTCCAGGTTGAGAAGGGGTGTGCCCAAGGTCGGATGGCGGGAGTGGGGGTGGGGCTGTGGATTTGGTGGGTCCGGGGGGGGCGAAGGGCGCTGTTCGGTGGTAGGACATGTACGTGGTTCTTTTTCTCGAAGCATGGAGGATCAATGTGGCATGCTCACCAGGTGTATCGCCACCCATGTCGATGAAGTCCCCGCCTTTATAAGATGGTCGGCGGTGCCGGCGGTGAAGTGTGCACGGTTGCGCCTGCAATCCGGGGCGGTGTGTGGGTCCTCTTTTCACAAGTTTTCAGCAGCCGAAGGGTAGCGATTCCAAGCTGCTCACACATGCTTTCAGGGCAGGGATGGGACTTTTTTGGGGGGGGCCATGGAAGCCAGCAGCACGGGGATGG